TGTGGTATATATACTCTTCATGAATACTGTTCTTCCATAAGGAAAGATGAATTGCAGCCATTTATAGCAAAATCAAGGGAGCTTGAGGGTAATAGGTATAGTGAAAGGAGTCAAAATATCATTGACAAACACTATGTTCACATAGCAAATGATATATGAAGAAACTATGTAGAAAAACTAATGGATGTTAACAAACACAAGGGCTTGAAGGTTAAGAGGGAGTGGGAGAGAGAAAGGGACCAAGAGTAAAAGAAAACTATAATATACTACAAAACCAGTGAGATGGGAGAAAACTTTTCTGGTGTTTCTGGGAAACAAAAACATTCCCTTTCCTAGGTGGCAGGGATAAGACACTAGAATGATCTATGTGGTAACGGATTAGTGTTGAAACAGCAATGTGACCCCATGTTTAATTTAACACAATGCAATATTATGATTTATTAAAGAAATATATTTCTGATACAGAAAATACAATTTTCACAAAATGATGAATGTGGAAACTAGACAGGATAAAGAGGGTAGAAAGAATGGGAGGTTCTATTTTCCTAGGGTAGCTGGGAAGACCTCTCTGAGGTAAAAACCTGAAAGCTTAGACCTGAGAGAATGAGGGCACAACTAACTAGGCAAGGATGCTCACAAAGAAGACTACAGTGCGGGGAAGGAAAAGTGCTGAAGTAGGGATGAGCTTAGGGTATCTGAAGGGTGGGTGTGGCTAATGGGGAGCAAATGAGGTGGGAGGTGGTGATAACTAAATGGGTTGAGATCAGGCAAGGGCTTGAGGGTCACCCTAAGAAGTTGAATTAGATTTTCCCTTATGGGAAGTCAGTCAATAGAAAGTTTTCACCAACAAAGTGATCTATCCTAGTCTACATATTTTAGATTATTCCAGCACTTATGTGGGAAATGGACTATAGAGAGCACTAGAATGGAAACCACACACCAGATAGTAGATGACCAAGGGGACTCAGGCACCAGTCCATAAGATTCACACACAGCAGCAAAGTATCACAAGACCCAGGGCCCTTTGGTGTGTTCTGGGGCTATCAGTGAATTACTGAATAGCCACAGACTCAGGATGTTGTTATTGAACATCATCCCTCTTAAATGAGACCGTTATTTAGGTTTGAGTCCTCTGAGAAGACATCTTTTCAGGACCTGAGAAGGAGCTACACGAATTGGTGTCTTGATGAGCAGTATGCTGGGGACACTGCCACATATAACATGTTCTCTGTATTGTGAACACCCTGCTCCCAAAATTCTGGGGCAGCAACTCTATTCAGTATTGTACAGAGAGCATGCACAATAAACATTTGCTGAATGACTACGGATTAAATGACAGAGGAGAACCACTTAGCTTAAAAACCTTAGAAACCGTATTTTAAGAGAAAATAGCAAGACACAGGCCAACACAGAAGAAAAAGAATAGAGTTCAGGAGAGGGTTAAGGTTGAGTAATCAGTAAGTGTTCTAGGCAAAAGCCAATAAATGAGGAACAGAGTGATTTTGCAAGAGACAGCACAAAGGCTATGCAACAGTCCTTACGGGGATTTTACAACTAAACTTGATGATCTTATCACAGGTTCACCAAATGCAGAGTTGGGAGAGATCTTAGGAAATTTCTGAATCAATTCGCTCCTGTGATAGATGAGGAAATAAAAGTGAAATTAATGTTTTGGGACTAGAACCCAATTCTTTGGACCTCAGATACCAAATTCTTTTTTCATATTGCACTGATGGGCAATTATAATAAACTTCCTTTTTCATATGTGAACTCAAAGGGAAGTTTTCAGAAGCAAGTTGGATAGATAGTTTTCTGAAGCCTAAAGGCTATTTGCAGATAAAATTATCCCTTTAGAATTCAGTTGCATGATAAAGCATCTCTCTTGATAAACTTTTCCTCTTATCACTCAATGAAAATGAAGAACTCAAGATGGCTTCTTTCTTTACATAACTGCCAGGAAGCTTAGGGCTAAATTCACTATTTTGATTTTTTTCTAAAATTTCATGTTTACTGAGGTAACACTGATTTGTAAGAAGGCATGTTTCAGATATATAGGTTTTTACTTTCACAATGTGTCTTTCACAGCAAGATTTAACATTTAATCCTTATAATAATAGTGGCCTCAACTTTTGACAAACAGTACTTATTTCTCCCTCCTCTTTCTGATTTTTCATTTTTTAAAGCATTTCAATGGCTTTATTGTTATGTGTGTTTTACTTTGTCTCAAATTTTCTTTGGAAGTCAGCCAGGTATAAAACACCAATAAACGAAAATAGAAGGGATTTCATTTTCTATTTTGCACTGGAACTACCACTTACAGTATGGTATCCCTTTTCAGTTCCCACCCTTGACCTAAAAAGCTCAGACCCTACCTCCTGGTTTGATATTTATACAGAGGGAAGGTCACCGCAGGACAGATTGCATACAAATGAGTAGTTATAAAATTGTAGGGTCTGCCTGCTAACTAGGCAAGTCACTGGAAACGTCTCCAAAATGAAAACAAGATGTGGAAGGAGAGGGCTGTTTCCAGAGCTGACATGGCAGAACTTTGCTGCCAGCAGTACCCCGTGAGGCAACGCACCGGCCTCCATGGTCAGCAGGTGGTGGCCTGTGTCACATCCAGCCCTCCTTGTGTTGACTACAACCACAAGTCTGACCCTCCCAGGCCTGAGGAATGAGATCATGTAGCCTTCATCTGTTTTGGATTCTAGCCACATAAAGAGATTAAAGCACTTTTTTTTTTTTTGAAAACACAAGGCTTTCTTATCCCTCCCTAAAATGAAATTCCTCCTAGACCACAAACATTTTACCAGGGCGGGATCAGGAAAGCAATAAAGAAATCCATGCACAGATATTCCCTCTTGCTTCCTTACTGCTTCAGGATCATCTGTTGCCATTTCTGTCCAGGTAGCAACAGAAATATTCAAAAGTTCAGAAAATGTCAACTTCTCCAGAGGACACTGGGCTTTCATGTTTATAAATTGGAGCCTGATACTTTCTGTGGCATTTATTTTTCATTTTCCTGGTTTTTAAAATTTTGTTCTTTATTCCTATGGTGTTGGACATGATTTCCATGATAATCTAAGAGATATGTTCACATGAAAAATGGCTTCAAGAGGTACTGCTGCTCATGAAAATAGTCCTTCCCTAAAACATCCATTTGGATTCTGGTCCCAACCTCTTCCTAGTCAGCCAATTTGTTCAGAGAGACAAGAGGATGCTGCCCCAGTGTTCCCAACACCTTGAAGAATGAGACAGCTCAAAGAAACCTGTGATGTCGCTTTAGGAAAAGCTCGATAAAATTATATGAAATGCAGGCAGGACAATGGAATAACATCAGCACAGCAGGTAGGCACCCAACCAGGGCCCAGATGGCCGGGATCTTTATAGTTCTTATCACATCTTATCTATGTGAGACCTGGAAAAATAGCTAAACCTTGGGTAGTACCTCCCTCATCTGTAACTGATGAGGGTGGGGGTGTGGGGGTGTCAAATTAGTGCTTCTTCATGGGGCAGGTGCCCTGACTTTGTGTGCTGCAGACACACCCACACCTCCCTCTATATTAAGTCTGATTTTGTGGGGTTGAGAAGGGGCCAGAGAATCTGCATTCTTAACAAGATCCCGGGTGATGCAGAAATGTTGGTTCAAAGACCACACTTTAAGAACCTTTGTCATAGGACTATGGTGGCTATGATATAGCTAAAACATGAAATTAAGTGTTTATTTATGACCATTTTATATACTGCTGTCAGCACTGTGCCTGGCAAAAGGTAAGCTGGCTAAATGGTATTATTATCTTAAAGTAAGTATATACTGAGCCACAATATAATCCATTGTAAGAAACTTCACTATATCAGAATAGGAAAATCTATGACAACCCAAATAGAAGAGCCTCATTTAAGATGTTGGAAATGGGTTCCAGATACTTAAAAGCAGTTCTAAAGAACATTGGCATTTTCACCTAAAACTTGTCAGTACTAATCTGTATAGTAAACATGTCATGAGGCAGAAGAAAAACAAAAGCTGATTCAAGCTATACACTGAGGTTTTGTTTTTCCTCTTAATTACAGTAAAAGCGCCAAAACAGATTTAGTCATTATGGGCAAAAAGAATTCTTCAATTCATTTTAAGTAATTAAGAAGCCCAGCAGAGGCAGACGTTACAGTGGCAGTTAGAAACATCAACAGCTTTGAAAAGGCAGCGGAAACAAACCCAGTATAAGACACAGAGATTGTTAAAAAAGCTCTCCACAACAAAGGAAGTGAAGGCGAATCCCTAACCTGTCGGCGCTCCAGCAACCCTGAAAGACAAAGATGAAACGTTTTGATGAAAAGCCAAGGCTTGTGAAGCTTTGTGTAGAGAAAGAAAATATCAAACATCATGTCAAAGGATCAGATGCTTTCCAAGTAGGAGGAGGATCCTTTGACCTTACTGGAGTCTTAACAGTACAAGGAACTGGGAAACCCCCTCTCAGTTCTTCCCGTGCCAGCATCACTATTTCCACATAGAAAACTTTTTAATCAACTTAGGTCGAGTGCCACTTCTGTTCTAATCACAGGTTGAGCCTGAGGCAGCCAGTCCTTGATAAACATCTAACTTTTCCAAGTTAATCAGATCCAAGTTTTTGGCTAAATTCTCCAATGAAACATGAGACGTTGATAAAGCACATTCTTGCATCGCAAGGGGTTTTGAAAAATCAAACAAATGGCGCATGTTCGCAACAAGCAAAAATAAGCTTGCCCTGACAGTTAAAAAAAAAAGGCATATAGAAAGCGCTCTCCCAGACACTTTAAAGAAAGGTAGGCGCTCATCAGCACTGCGCTGACGGCGCACTCCACGAAGGTGGTGCCTCATTCCTAGTCAGGAAAGAAACACGAGTGGACAGTCCGTGAGCGAAGTTGACTCGGTCCCTCCGCCCAGAAGCCTCCCTCAGACTCAGCACGGTGTACAGAGCGAGACACGGGTCCCCAGACGGGCTTCTGGGGCTGCCACGACTCACCTCGCCAACTTCTCCAGGCTCGCCGCGCCCCGGCGCCCGGCTCGGGGGCGCAGATGCTGTGGCCGAAGCTTCCCAGCACCTCGGCCACCCCCCTGGAGGGTGCCGAGGCCCGGCGGGCGCGCGGGGG